TTGCTTAGAACATGTGGCTCTGTGTCCCAAACCTACTCACCTGTATCAACCCAAACAGCATATTTGAACCTTCAAATTATTTTTCACCTAAAAAAGAAATTTTTGAGAGCTTTTCTATTGGCAGTTAGGATGAACTGGAACCCTTCTGATTATCTATGCTTCTAAATATTGTTAAGTGTCCCAGGAGAGAATGACTTGTATTTAGCATGCCAAAAGCACACTACTTGCAGGTGGTGCATTTTTTTTTCTAATGACAGCTTATAAAAAAAGGTTGTAAATTTTTTTAAATTTTATTTTATAACATAACCATCAGGAAAAATTGTCAGCTTTCAGATTCTTTTTATTGCTTTCCTGAAACTCCTCACCATTTTTCAGATTTCTTTTTGTAACTCAGCATAGATTTCTTTTGAGAAATGACCAGGGGAAAAGAAAAACAACAGAGAGAAGCCAAGTTGTTAGTACTGTTAATGTTTTTATAAACCAATAAAAAAATGTTGGAAATATTTGGGAAAACAAAAAGAAAAGTCTTGTTTGGATTCCAGCACAATACCAATGAAATATATGGTATTTTCCCTCCTCATTGTATAATCAGCTCAGTTATTAAGTGACCTCTAGAGTGAGTAAAATAGGAGAAACTTGGAGGCAGAAGGTGCAGAATTTGTTCCCAGTAGTCTCAAACTGGTGAAATTAATGATAAAGGTGCCACATGGCTGGGTGGACCAGAGGAGACAAGGTGAGGGAGTAAGCAAGGGATGTTGGGAGTCATAGAATGATAGACTGGTTTGGGTTGGAAGGGACCTTAAAGCTCATCTAGTTCCAACCCCATTGCCACAGGCAGGGACACCTTCCACTAGTCCAGGTTGCTCAAAGCCCTGTCCAGCCTGGCCTTGAGTTGTTCCAGGGATGGGACATTTACCACCCTCGAGGCAACCTGTTCCAGTGCTTCACCACCCTCACTGTAAAAAATTTCTTCCTCATACCTAGTCTGAATAAATGCTCTTTTAGTTTAAAGCTATTACTCCTTGTCTTGTCAGAAGGTTGATGATTTGTCTCCTTAGATGGAAAAATAGAGGTATTGGAGGAAGGAGTGAGAGAAGGACAGTGGGGCTACTGTATGGGACAACAGGCATGTACAGAGGGGAGAAAAAGCTTTTGGCTGTGTTAAAATTCAGGAAAGCGGATCGAGCAGTCAGAAAGCATGGCTGGTCCAATATTTCCATTTTGAAAAATGTTTTCCAAGGGTTTCAATCAGTCTAGAAACTTTTCAATTCTTTCTGCAACCAGGAGATCCAGAGGCACCTGACTTGACCTGTTGATGTTCTCTCCAGCTTCCCCCTACTACAAACTAGTAGTTGTCAGTCCTTCTTCCCAACCCAGTTCCTCTCCCCTTGCCTTACCTATGGCACCCTGGATTGGCAAGAAACAGCCATGCTGTACCTAATTTTAAGTTATGCATGTGCCAGTTGGCTAGTCAGTTGGCAAAGACTGGTTGCCAGGTGGCAGGTGCCAAATGTTCACCTGCTCTTTACTGATCATCTATCACCATGAAATTGGCAGGCTGAGATCTCTTACCCCTCCTTCAAATCTGGCTGAAATGTGTTTTCCAAGAACAGAGTGGGGAGAGAGAGCTAGGGGATGACAGAGAGATGGAGAGCAGGCTACAGAGGTTTTTCTGTGTTGCAACAGTTCATGATAACAATGACAGATTCATTTGCAACTTTCTTGGATGGTTTCTGAAGATCAATTCCCACCAAATCCTAATCAGGTTAAATGAATCAATTCCATGGGTCAATACACAGGCAATAAAATATTTCAGATGCAATAAGAGGCAGCAAACCTGATTTTTTTTTTTTTTTCCAAATTTTTGGGGGCAGCTGATGGCTTCCCAAATTGTCCACATGATAAAACACCAGTCCAGAGGTGTCCTCTGCTTTTTGCAAGGACTGTGGGGATCAAAGTACCCCAAAAGAAACAATTGTATATTCTGTTATCCAGAAAGCATTGTTTTCCTTTGAATGAGTCCATTTCAAATGTGTGTGTGAATGTTTACGCTGTAAGGAAGGTGTACACATCAGATACTTTTCCACATTAATATTTTCTGGACAAATATTGCAGTATGATACTAAATGAAACTACTTACAAGTGAAGGCTGACCTTTGTAAGCTATTCTGAAGATCGTAGAAAAGTGCAAGGTTTTTCTCTCAGTATTTCAGAGCATGACATTTTCTCCTCAGTGTTGTTTCCCCCCAGCATTCATTTTCAAGTTTACCCACATCTATTTATTTGTAAAAGGAATTGGTTTTATTTTAGGTAAGACCACTTTGAGTGCTAAATTAAATTTTCATTTACTTTCTTGTCTGCAAAAAAAAACCTCAGAGACAATAACATTTTGTCCTAATCCAAATTCTGTAGGCTACTTTTTTTTCCTTTTTGTTTTGATCCTTTCAGAGAACTGGAAAATAAATAAACCAGTTTTCACAGTGTAAGTAATCCTGCAACATAATGAGCCAAAGGGAAGGGCTTTCCTGGTTTCCATGAATAGGAAATCTAGTATTATTCTTCCTCTAATGTGACTGGAAGTGGAGCAAATGCAATAAGCTTCTTCCTCTTTTTTATGAAAACAATACAGAGGTATTTAGCTCCCCTATCCTCACTCCCAGTTAAAGTTTTAGAAGATAGGCAGTGATTAGTTGGGTCCTCTTTATTAGCACTAAGTTAAACATAAGAAATCAGCTCTTCAGAGTTTTTCTGTTGTTTTTCATACCCTGAAATACCAGCAAACTGAATTGATCACTGTCAGCTCTGACCCTAGAGGGTACAATACCAGCCAAAGGTCTTTAAATCAATCCTGGATCTTGCTTAATCTTGTGAAAATGCATTCATTATAAAGGATAAATTGCACTTTGATTGAAAGATTGCTAAGGCACTAGCTTTGATACTAATGAAACATGTTGAGATCTTGGTCATGTTTATCATTTCTTTTCAAGCCGAGCTCTTGTGCAGATAAGAGCGGTCCGTTTCATTTTATTTTTCATTCATGTATAATTCCTCTCTGTCAGACACTTTATAGGCTGTTGATAAATTCCTTCATCGGCTGCCATGGGTACAGGGGACAGAGGCAGTTCTGAAAACAGACCTCGGGTAGATTCACTATTTTTTGCTCTTCACTTCAAATCCTCTACTGCAGCTGGGTTTTAATTGGTAGGTGCAGCTATTGCAGGCCAACACAAAGGCATATGTAAACACCAGGTTAAGCTTGGTTGCATAGTCCTGCCTGCCCATGTTGAATGTCTGCATCTGAACTGGAACTTGCACCCTTTTGGAACTGGAAGCTTACGGACAAAAAGCTGCAGAAATGGGTGGTTGACGAGCTGGAAGGATAAAACAGGTGGAGAACAGGGTTTGAGTTCCCTCTTTTTAAAGCAATGTTGAAAATGAGGTCAAGTTCCACAGTTTTTTGAGATGCCTGGAGGATTTCTCAACACTTCTAAATGTGGGTATGTTCTGGCTTTGTCCCTTGCAGAAAGAATGAACAGACAATGAGGAAGATGAGACTGATGCAAGGGTGGGCACTCATCTCCCAGGGGAGTCTGTCTCCATCACTGGTATCTCAGCTGCTTCAGAAGCTGGTGGCAAATCGCACGGGCTGCAGAGCTCCTTGAAGACGCTCTTAGCCCGCATAGGACATAACCTGGAGGCCTTGAATGATCAGCTAGTACCTCATTTGTGAAGAGAGAAGCAAAGCTTCTCATAATTATGGGTCATTAAAAGACCTGCTTGATTTTTTCTTATGTTCTGGATAATTGCAAAATTACAGTATGTACTTATATACCTGCCAATTTTCAAAAAAGAAAAAAGAGGTTTGGGGAAAAAGGGTAGACATGGGGAAGCTGGGAAAGCTCAGCCATGTCACCCTGTTCTTGGCGGCAGGCAACTGGTCAATTAGTGTGCATGCACTGCCAGCCAGTTAGCATGGGCACAGCTCCAAATCGATCAGTACATGATTGCACTGCATCTTGCACAATGAGGAAAATAGAGGTAGAGGTACAATGGCAAAGTCCTAAGCAAAAAGGCTGTCAGATGGGAAAGGATGCAAATCTTTACGAAACAGAAATTCCATTGTTTCACACCTTATGAGGCAAGGTAATGGAATATTCTCTATTTATGATTAGAAATAGTGCTACAGACACCTCTCTATAGATTCTTGCTAGTCTTAGTGTTAATTAAAAGAACAACCAAATTCAGGCACACAAGCACATCTGAGAAAGCAGCAGAACACTGTGGTATAGCATAGCACCAGCTGATGCAAATAATGAGTTAAAAATACAGCTGAATTTGGATTAATGGCATGTAGATATTAAATCACAGCCCTCCCACTCCATGTGCATGAGTACCTTCCCTGAACTGGTACCTCTGAGGCTCACAGTAATGTAGCCACAGCATAATCCATCTCCTTGCTAGTGTAGGCTCAGATATGTGCTGCCATATCAAGGCTATACATAACCAAACTTGCCTGGGTTTTTCCATGTTTCCCATCAGTCTACAGAGTCCTGACTGTTTAGGTCCTCTTGTTCTCCACTCTGCTGTCCTGCCTCATTTTCATTTCTTCCAGCCCACAAGGGAAAGCAGCTTTCCAAAATCTTTGACCACTCTCATCAGGTATTATCCCATAGAATTCTAGAATCCCAGGTTGGAAGGGACTTCAAGAATCATCTCATCCAACCTTTTGGCAAAGCATGATCTAGACTGGATGGCCCAGCACCCTGTCCAGCCGAATCTTAAAAGTGTCCAATGTTGGGGAACCTGTCCTTCTGAAATAAACCTTGTGAGAAGTTGTACCTTCTGGAGCTAAACACTGAGAAGAAAATTGTACTGAGGACTAAGAGCGGTTTTCTTGAACTGAGTGACAGTATTGATGGCTTTTTCAAGGACAGCCCTCTCCAAACAGCAGGACTCTGGAGGTCCAGTGACTCCTCTGTATCTTTGTGTCTCTTCCACAGATGGCTTCTGTCTTCCTGAGTGGGATGGTATCGTCTGCTGGCCTGAAGGTGTGCCAGGCAAAGTGGTGGCTATGCCATGTCCTGAGTACATCTATGACTTCAATCACAAAGGTATGTGTTGACCTTAGTGTCAGCAAAGCCTGATAAGCTGCAACAAAAGGAGGCCTGGGAATCAGAAAATTAAAATCCTCTTTAGCATCCCTGTTTTATGACATGGTGACTCCCACCCAGTCAGGAGTAAGCCAGAGAAAGGGAAGTAAAGAAACAGCCATTATGGTTTTATGCTGAAAGAAAAGCTGTTTTAACCTAGACAGTGACAAGTTTCCCACCTGCCCAACCCAGACTGTAATGGGGTTAGGCACTGATTGGGGTGTCTAATTAGGGTTATAAGCACCAATTGCAAGCTTACCACTTGGTAGTCTTGCAGCATTACAAATCTGTATTTGTTTGACACTGCAAACTGCATACCAATAGAAACCTGCAAGATATTCTTCCAATTTATATTCCTCACGCGTTTGTTAATTCTAGCCCCTGATCTCTGCCCAGACCCCTATGGTGGGTTTCTGAGAACAGCGCCAGTAACCAGAACATGTGAATTCCTCCCCATCTCACTTTCCCTCAGGCAGCACATTTCTTGGCTTGCTTGTGGTGCCGCAAAGTCTGTGCATGTTTTCAGAAGCAATTGAAGTACACTCGCTCCTCAGTGTATTTTCAAAGCTAAAGCATTCTCTTTTCTCAGGGAAAGCTGTGCACCCAAAGGCTGAAAAATTAGGGAATTAAGACTATATGCTCTGCAGAGTACTGATGCTCTTTTCAGAAAACAAGTAATGATATTCCAGTGCACCGCAGTTGCTCATAGTCTGTCCTGACTTTTCTAGAAGGGTCCGTGAGCTGAGCCAGCTTAACCCCTGGCTGATGACCTCTCACAGAGGGACTGAACATGCACTTCACACTGGAGGCCAGGAGAAACAGGCAATCCATCCTTTTTCTCTTCACAATCCAACATGGCACAGGTTCCACACTGCACTGATATCCACTGGTCAAATGAGCTAGTGTGCAAGTCAAAGTAAGACTGACTGATTAAGGTGCAGAGGTCTCTATGCGCTCTCTCTCTGTAGTCACAGGACAGACAGATCTGTTGACTGGTTTCATGACTATCAACTGTGATGTGTAACTTCTTACACACAGTTCATGAAATGATACCCACCAGCCTAAAACTCTGCACATGGATGCTTTCATCTGTCAGCTGAAACCTAAAATGAAACTTCGCCTTCTCTTCTTTCATCATCATCATGTGGAGGGTAACCATATTAAATCTATCTTAAGGTGTACTGAATCTGTAAAAAAAAAGAGCAGCATAATATAGGTTACTGCTTATTTTCATAGGGAGAGCTGCAACTCTGAGGATGATTTTGTGCTTTGGGACTTTTTAAAGCATCTCTCCTTGGTTTGTAGACCCTATATCTTAACCTAAACTGAGTGCAACTTTTTATTAGCTCTCTGGTGTTTCTCAGCTAGAAAATTGATAAAGTTGCCAAGGAGATGGAAACTATGTTCTTGCAGCTGAGCTTCAAAGCAGGCAGGAGGCATCAAGGTTGATAGGAACCACCACTGGAAGAAGCTTTTCCTGCTCTACCAGGTCTAGTCCTGTTTACTCTGTTTCTCATTTCTCTCCCAAAGGCCATGCTTATCGCCGGTGTGACCTGAACGGGAGCTGGGAGCTGGTCCCAGGCAACAACCGCACCTGGGCAAACTACAGTGAATGTGCCAAGTTTCTCACCAATGAGACGAGGGAAAGGGTAGGCAACTGCATTTGTGTGTGGAGCATGAAGTGTTGGCCTCATCCATGGCTAACACTTGGAGCATTTCTCATTTAAAACCCTTGATGAGCTATAATTTGCTGCCTCCTCTTGGAAACTACGTCTGAGCTTGCCAAAGCCACATCTTTGTTTTGATGCAGAATTATTTGAATTTGAAATTGTCCTCAAAGCCAAAAAGGCTTCTTCCACCTGCCATGATCCCATTTTAAAGAGATCTTGGGGAAACTTGAAACGAGCTCAGAAACACTAAGAAGTGGTTGGAGCTTGTTCCATGCATTGCAACTTCCTCTTCCCCACCAGGCAATAATTTTGCTACCAGGTTGTTACCAATAATTCCGATGTTTATGCGCTTGTCTGTGCTAGGAGGTGTACAAACACAGCCAAGAAAAAGTGTCAGTCAAACCGGTAGCAATCCTGTTTCTGTAGGTGATTAATAGTGAACCTCTTGGTTGAGAGGTATAGATGAAGGATCATAGGTTTTTACATAGTCTGTTCATTGGAGATGGGTAGCAAAAAAATCCTTTGCTAAAGCAAATTAACATATAAGAACGGATCTTGAACTAATTCTGGTGTCGTCACAATTTTGAAACAGGGACACCAGTCCAAAGTTAGAGAAAGGATTCCTAGCACATGGAGGAAAAAGAAAAGGAGGGGGAGGGGGGGCAAGGAGGTGTTGCCTATCAGTACATCAGAGCTATGTGCCTTATTTTTACATAAATTCAGGTCATTGGCAAAATAATAGCTGGCAGGAATTTCCTACCTCTCTGTCTGTGTCTGAGCCCAGCTGGGACTCTGTGGTACTACTGAATGCCTCCCAAGCTGGGTGCATCACAGAAGCAATTCCATGCTAACGTGACAGCAAAGCTGTCAGTGGAGTCACCTAAGAGGATGTGACCTCATTTCTCAGAGAAAGACATTTCTACCCACATGAGGTTGCCGCTCTATTTCTGTAATTTGAAAAGAATTTAGCAGAAACCTTTGTTTTCTCAATGGTATTTGAAAGATGTCCTCCTTGGATATGGCATTAGGGAGTGATCATTTGCAGCACGGGTTATTTTCAGACAGCAGAAGATAAAGATCCAACCACAAGCTTCACAGTGGGGAGCAGGCTTGAGGTTGATACACAGTCCCTTTGGGAGAATGTTCTTAATTTTAAATCCAACCACAGCACAGAAATTTTTTTGCCTTTTTGGTTTTTTTCTCAGCAGTGAAGCAACATATGAATGAAATTGTTTAGTGAGGAAAGATGTTATTTGAACATCTGCATGCTTTATATCACATCGTCAAGGAACAGACAAGGTTGTGTACACCAGGTACTTAACAGCAAAGCATGTTGTCTCAGTGGCAGACAACATTGACATTTAGATCAAGTTTGCTGGGACTTAAATTTTCCCAGTCCATATAGTGAAAACAACTATTTTAGCCCCAAGAGATTTCTGGGAAGTTTCTGGAGTAGGAGTTGGAGTCATTAAAATCTTGCTCACACTAACAGCATTAGATATGGACCTATTGGAGAGGGTCTAGAGGAGGGCCACAAAAATGATCAGAAGGCTGGAGCACGTCTCCTGTGAGGAAAGGCAGAGAGGGTGGGAATTGTTCAGCCTGGAGAAGAGAAGGCTCTGAGGACCTGTTGCAATAGGATGAGGATTAATGCTTTTAAACTAGAAGAGGGAAAATTCAGGATGGATGTGAGGAAGAAATTTCCTACATTGAGGGTGGTAAAATACTGGCACAGGTTGCCCAGAGAGGTGGTAGATGCACAGTCCCTGAAGACATTCAAGGCCGGACTGGATGTGATTCTGAGCAACCTGATCTAGTTGAAGATGTCCCTGCTCATTGTAGAGGTGTGGGACTTGATGACCTTTGAAGGTCCCTTCCAATCCAAACTATCTTATGATTTTATGATTCTAAGTTGCACAACTTCTTAAACTCTCTGAAGTCATTGTCTCCCCTGTTCAACCCCTCTCAGCCATATCCTGAATTGGGAGTTTTCTGCTGCAGACTTCTCCTTCCAAGCAACTCTCCTAGACTTCCCTTAGGGAAAAGAGGTCCATTCTTTTAAATGTTCCACGCTGGCAGCTAGGACTTGGTCAAGGTAAAACTGCAGGAGAAGGGCACGGGGAAGAAGAGAGTTGTCCATTTTTTACTAGCATAGGGAGGAAATACAGACCACCACCCACAGGCTGCTAAAAAGGCTGAAAGCAGTCTGTTGCCCTGGGTTTCATGTACCTATCTCTGTCTGTGTCTCCTGAGTGGTCACTGCACAGATAAGGAACATGGACTGTGCTTCCTAATGGACAGATATTTGGTGAGGTGTCATGATGCAGAAAACTGCATTTTTACACTCAGCATCTGCTCTTACTTGGAAAATTACTGCTTCTCATAGAATTGTAGAATGGTTTGGGTTGGAAGGGACCTTAAAGCTCATCCAGTTCTAAACCACCCTTCCATGGACAGGGACACCTTCCACCAGACCAGGTTGCTCCAAGCTCTGTCCAACCTGGCCTTGGACACTGCCAGGGATGGGGCAGCCACAGCTTCTCTGGGCAACCTGTGCCAGGGCCTCACCACCCTCACAGGGAAGAATTTCTTCCTCAGATCTCATCTCAGTCTCCGCTCTGTCAGGTTAAAGCCATTCCCCCTTGTCCCATCACTCCTTGTTCTATCTCTACCTGTCCCTGTCAAAAGCCCCTCTTCCAGCTTTCTTGTAGGCCCCTTTAGGCACTGGAAGCTGCACTAAGATGTGCCTGGAGGCTCTCCAGGCTGAACAAGTCCAGCTCTCTCAGCCTGTCTCTCAGCATAGGAAAGATGCTCCAGCCCTCAGAGCATCTTTGTGGCTTCCTCTGGACTTGCTTCAACAGGTCCACATCCTTCTTGTGCTTCCTCAGTTTTGGAATTGTATCTTATTAACAAATGCTTTCCAACAGCATATATTACTCACTATGATAATCATTATTAACCTTGTATTTGCAAGACGTTGCTTTCCTCAGTCCAGCCGTGCACTCATCTCATAGTGACATAGCTGCATGTGGTCATGTAGTTGCCTTGTTTTGCCATACAGGTGGCTTCATTTTAGTAACAAGTGAAGCAATGCATACACGCTGTGGGTCTCTTGGGGCTCCTGGAATGAAAAGCACTCTGGAAATAAAACAAAAAGAAAAGGAATAACCATCTTTTATTTCTCATTTGGGTGATGACTTCCAGAGAGCGAGGAAGGCCTCTTGTCTTTCACACCCAAGAGTGGCTCTGAAGCACTGGTATTAATAAACCTTCCTTTGATTATTTTTCTTTTTGAAGTAAATATGTTAAGAGATGTCAGAATTGGAGAATTTGGCAAGATAGACTAGTCGTCTTTAGAGGGAGATTGTTTTCTATTATTATGTCTTCCCCTGGGGAACAGCATCTTTGCATCACCAGTAACAGCTGCATTTAACCAATGTTATGAAAGGAGATTGTGGGCTGACTCCCAAGTAGGACAGCATCTGAACAGATGCAACCAGAGGAACTTGTAAGAAACTATGCATTAGAAAGCGTTAGGAAAAATGTCTGTCTGTTACGAGATATATATATATATCTGCATTACTATCCCTAGTAATAGGCCTATATTTATAGATAGGCATATGTACAGATACACACCCTTAATAAAACCCATGTCCATGCGCACACGCACACATATATATGTCCATGTATGTTTGTTTAAGTGTGTAGTTTTCTCATTTTAGCCACTGTGGGATAATTATCAGATTGACCAAAGCAGCAAACATAGGGCCCCAGAGCAAGTTTGCATCTTTCGCTACCTTTTCCTGAACCATATCAGTAGGATTATTTCACACAGAGCAGCATGGAAACTGCGTTCTGAAATTAGCAAAGTATGCTAAAGCCATCAGAGCCAGGAGAATTACAGCTTATAACTGCCCAGCGAGCAATTGCTCTTGGGCTGTTTTCTAAGGGAAAATTAGCACTGCTAAAGGATGCGGGATTGACAGCACTGAAGATTGATGTCCTCTCTTTAGCCAGGAAAGCAGGTAGGTTGCAGCTAGCTATTGAAGTGTGTTTCCCAAAATAGCTTGCAGATAGCATTAATCTTGATGCAAACAACCATGTCCCCCACATGGCCTGTAAAAGACAATTGTTTAGCAAGGATTAGTAAGAAGCTTTGTGGAAAGGTGTTTTAGCAGCATGTCATGGGAAGACAAGACAGTTTTCTTTGTGTCTTTGGGCAGTGCTGAAAGCCACCACTACACCACAGTCTGTATATATTCTACCATATTCTTCCTTTAAGATAACACTTCACCAGTGCAGCAAAGATGGTGGAAAATCTTGTTCTCCAACTACTTCTCCAGGAGACATATATGGGCATCCCCCATCCTAAATACACCCTGTATCTTCAGAAAGTCTCCCTGCCTCTGAACAGATAAGATGAGAGATCTGTGGTTTACCACCACAGCACCCTTTGTTTATTTTCCATCAGTGTTTAAAGCGAGAAGGTGGGACAAGGGAAGGAAAGGGAATGTTTATCTGTCTCCTGTGTGTTTCACATTGCTGAACCACAAGCTGCTGAACACTGGGAGAGGTATACAGCTATACAGCATCGCTACGTAACCACTAGATGACAGACACGTAGGTGTGTGTGTATGTATATTCTATATGTATTCTGTATTTGATCTGTACTTAAACATCTGTTCATGGGCATGTAGAAGACTGAGAGCACAGGTAAAAGGACCTTTGGTCTGGCCCAGATTAGCCATTCACTTACCGCTTTCATAGGTTCCCTTAAAAATGGGAGGGCTACCTGTGTTCTTAAGAGTTCCTCAGTCTTTGGATAAAACGTGGCATACATGGAAAGTCTTGGTATGCCCCTGTCATGAAGAAGCAGCTTTTGGGCATTTCTCTCCAAAACCCATAGTAACACTTTGACTACAGCCCCCTTCCACGCATCCCAGCCAATAGCAGCACCTTTCAGCATGGTAATTTTTCTC